TTTGAAAGTCAATCCATAATGGTGCTCACACCCAATTCCACGAATCAACTCTAAACCCAGAATCTCTTTCTACATCGTTTGTATCAAATCATGATATTGCAGTAGAGAATTATTAGTTAGAGATAAACAGATCTTTGGCTCCAATGGACCAGGACTTAATTTTCCAAAGTATTAGCCCCTCTGTCCAAAATGCAACAACACTCAAAAGTAATAGGTCTCCAACAATATTTCGCATTTGGATGCAAACTGAACAGGAAAGCAGGATATTTAGTGCTCCTGCTTCATGATTGCAGGTGGCTGGCCTAGAGCAGCTTTGACTGGCCAGAATGGATGCTATCTGCAGATTGCTTTTAGTGCTTTGATTAATTTTCCAAGGTATTAGCCCCTCTGTCCAAAATGCAACAACACTCAAAAGTAATAGGTCTCCAACAATATTTCGCATTTGGATGCAAACTGAACAGGAAAGCAGGATATTTAGTGCTCCTGCTTCATGATTGCAGGTGGCTGGCCTAGAGCAGCTCTGACTGGCCAGAATGGATGCTATCTGCAGATTGCTTTTAGTGCTTTGATTTCATCCTTTGGCAATATTCTATAGTCTTCCATAACGGCCATGGTCCTACCTCTTCTGCACTGTAAATGGATGCAAGGCATTTATTCAAGGCTGTGCAATTTTACTGTCTTTCTTTAATGCACCATTAACTTTAACTCATCTAGAGATCCATTTGTCTCATTAGTTGCTTAAAAGATTTCTGTGGCTCACCCTAATTGTTCCTTGGTCCTTGAACCTATTTAGTTTTGCATTCCCCACTTCACCGCCTCTAACTGAATTTGCCAAGACATGAGTTAGACAAAATGAACTTTTGAAAGGCAGTGAGAAGGCTGTTAGTCTCTCCCAATGTGGCTGAGCACAAGGGCTGCACTTGTAGAGTTGATAATGAATCACACTGAGAATTTATATTAATTCACCTTTGTTACAACATTCCAACCATGGAATGTATAATAATAATAATAATAATAATAATAATAATAATAATAATAATAATAATAGTAGTAGTAGTAGTAGTAAAGTTGGAAGGGACCTTGAAGGTCATCTAGTCCAACCCCCTGCTCAGGCAGGAAACCCTATACCATTTTGGACAAATGGCTGTCCAGTCTCTTCTTAAAAACTTCCAGTGTTGGCGCATTCACCGCTTCTGGAGGCAGGTTGTTCCACTGGTTAATTGTTCTCACTGTCAGGAAGTTTCTCCTTAGTTCTAGATTGCTTCTCTCCTTGATTAGTTTCCACCCGTTGCTTCTTGTCCTGCCTTCAGGCACTTTGGAAAATAGCTTGACTCCCTCTTCTTTGTGGCAGCCCCTGAGATAGCCCCTGCTATCATGTCCCCCCTCGTCCTTCTCTTCATTAAACTAGACATACCCAATTCCAGCAACCGTTCCTTATATGCTTTAGCCTCCAGTCCCCTAATCATCTTTGTTGCTCTTCTCTGTACTCTTTCTATTAGATAGAGAGGTATGTGATTAACAGGAATATAAGCACCAGTTTTGAGATAAGCTATCAAGCTACCATTAACTATAAGAGGGATGTATGGTGGAAAAACCTCACACCCTACTTTGGGTTTGTGAAGCTGTCACATTCATCTGTAACTGAACTGGAATTGGTCTGCAGAGGGAAGGCCTCCCAACGTATCTTTACAGCAGTTGAAGATTCAATGTGTAGCCTGGTTCTTACATCCAAGTACAAAAAGGCTCAGTCACAGACCTGGACAACTGCTAGAGATTGTTCCTACTCACAATCTAATCATATGAGGTAGAGAAGAAATATATGGAGAACTATATCATCTTCAGAGAAGGAAATCTGGCTTTCTTGGCGAAAGGCCTGGACACTAGGCAGAATACATCTCACAACAGTCAATTTACAGTATTGTGTATGAATGGAATTGAGGAGACCCAACTCCCTCCCATGGCAGCAAAACAAGAGAGAGAAGAAAGAAGCAAACTTATTTAATTTAGAATCGTGTCCTAATAATCAAAGGACAGGAAAGACTATCATGCAACCAATCAGTTTTCTGTATTCAGCTGATCAGTGATACGAGACCCAGGACTGACCACAAATGTTCAGAGCAGTTAGAAAAAGTTATCTGATCAAAATAACTTCATAGCATAAGTGAGGCTCACTGTGGACAAACTCAAGACTTAGCGCAAATCTTGCTCATCCTACAAGTACAGACAAAATGCCTCTCCCACCTATTTTTCCACCAGCTGTATAGTTAATAGTCACACTGCTGTGTTTCATAAAGATTATGACTGTGCTAGGGTTTCATGTACACACACCTCTTTGACTCCCATTATATGGAAACAAAATCTGCTCTGGTGACATTTAAAAGAATCATTTACTGTAAAACAAAGACACAACGAAACACACTTATACTTCTCAGGGACTGGTCAAATAGTGCACTTCAGCTTTACAGGCCAGACTCAGGGATGTTGTGAGGGTGAAGGTTTAGGGGATGTCTCTGTCAGTGCTCTTCTGTTTACAAGGGCTTCAGGTGTGGGTGTGTCAAATGAAGGTCTTGTGATGGGTTAGGTGTGAGTCATCAGAGAGAATCTTGTAATGGGTCTTGTGATGGGGAGGTTACATCAGGCCAGGGTCATTGGGAGGTGAACTGCTGGTGGGAGAAGAGGGGGGGCTGGCGTGGGTTGATTGAGGATCGATGCTGTCTCTGGTTGGCTGTGCGGTTGATTTGGATTCTGAGGGGTTTGTAGGCTGGTTGTAGGTCAATGTGTCTGTTGATGGAGCTGCTTGTGGAGTGCCAGGCTTCGATGAACTCACAAGCATGGTGGGTGGTAGTGTGGCCGATGATTTTCATGTTAGTCCAATTCGTGTTGTTTGTTGTCAGTGTGGGTAGAGATCAGGGGTGTTGTGTTCAGACCAAACATCTGAGAAGCTATTATTTACATCTTATTCTTTTTAATACTATCTCAGAAAGCACTAATTAATATTTCCAGCCTTTCCACTGAAATGGGCATCAAAAAGTAGCTTTGGTGCACCTTTCATCTGCTTTGTCTGCCACTGTCAGGTTTCTGACTCCTCCCTTGAAGTCATCCTATTTGCACACCAAGCTTTCATGCAGCTCTTCTCTTTCATCTCTTCTCACCCAGGACCAGCCTATTCCACAAGCAGCCAGCTGCACCATATACTGTAGCGGGAGGCTTCTTCTAATGCACGGGGATGGTCTGATTCACCTGCTATCTCCTCCCATCTCCTCTCCTGAACCAATAGCTACTTCCCTTCTTCACATGAGCTCACTTGCAGGAGCAAACGGGATTCCCAGCTAAGGAGGCTGATGGTTTTCCCAGGGTGTTTCCTCATTGTCAGCAAAGACAGCTGCACACCTACGCCCCGGTTCTCAATCTAACCGTGAGACTGCAACTGCTTCACTGACGGGATCTCAGGAGCACGTTGCCAAGAGGCATTCAGCTCTTGGCAAACTGCTTAGTCCAGATATTAATTAAAAGGCAGGGAAAGAAAGGGGGGGGGGAGGAGGCAGCGATGAGGCACCACCCACCTCCATCAGTCTCCAGACCTTCAGCTACAGCTCCTGGCATGATTTTTACAATATCATACAAATAGTTCTTATTGTTTTTTTTAGCCTGATGTTTTGTTTTGGTTTTCTCAGCTGGCAGACCATTTTTCTTCTACTTGATGGTTTCCATGCAGAGTCCTTGACATCAGTATATGGGTCTAGTTATGAATCAACAATGCTTCTAGAAAAAAAACTACCTGTAACTCACATTAACCACAAAAATAAGTCCCCTCTCCTCCCTCAGTTTCTATAAAGTTTCAGGGAGAAGAAAGATTAGGACCTTTAATGATACGCATTCAGAATAGTATCATCTTTATTCTTAACCTTTCTAGGTAAACTACTTGTTGGTCCTGCCTTTCAGCCAAATGATTACAGTTTCAACAGTATGTATATGTTAATGTTACTCCAGATCAGCTAATACATTGAAAATCAAATCACAAAAGCTTTTCATTCATATTTATGCAATATTCCTCAAAATGTGATCAGGCGTCACTATTTAAACTGCAAGTTTGTCTGGCTGCTTGATTTTTTTTTACAAAATCACACCGCATTACATAATGCTTCATGTTATTTATCAAGTTTTTTGCATGCTGCCCTCCTGGCATATGTAGTATACACACAGCTGTATTTTTGTCTTAAGGCATGAGACACACACACATACAGCCCAATTCTATCCAGATTTATTCCGTAGTACAAGTTCCAAAGAAGCATTGGTTCCAGCTACTTTTTTCCTCACTAGCCTTTGAGGTTTCATATTTGTGTATTTGGCTCTTTGTAAGCGAAGTACACGGTTGCTCACACACCTTTACAAGCGGCATCTTCACTGCAGAACAGGATTTTCTGAACTTATAAGGGCTACAACAGGCAGCACTATTAAGCAGAGACAGGGTTTGCCCGGCATAAAGAATCGGAAAGGCAAATTCTCAGAAAACTATTTGTCTTTTCCTCCCAACGAAGCTCATTTAGTGAAGCCCCCTCTCCTTTTTTTGGCAATGGCAGTAGGATTGGGAAGCTTGTAGCACAGTATGTCAGCTGCGCCCTATTCCACCCCCAAGTCCTTTTCTAGAATTGGCAAATTTCAAATATTCGCATAAATCTCCCTCTGCCCTGTGTCCCCATCTCATTACCCCCGCTGCCTAGCAGAGCTGTCCCAAATACCAACCTTTAATATAAATGGGCTGTGTGCAATCGCAATGAAACTTAACCCCAGCGGACTTTTTATACGTCCCGTTAAAAACACACACACACACACACACAAACCCCCACCAAGTCTCCAAATGAAAATACGCCCCTCCTTTAGTCGCCGGATCAGAATGGACATGGAGAAGGGAGATGTTCTCCGGCCAGGAAAAGGGACAAAATCGCAGCAAGGGGGGGTCGGGGTTGGCGCTGGCTGGGAAGCCGCGGGGTCAAACTCACCCGTGTCTTGGCGGAACTGGTGCATGGACTGGAGATCGATGATATACGGCGAGAGCCTGTTGTCCACCTGGCCCAGGACGACGCTGCCCCCAACTCTCGGCCCGGCTCTGATCACCGCCTCGATGTGGTGGCTCACGGCCGGACTGTAGGGTCTCCAGCGACCGTGCTCGTTCAGCCATTCCCAAACCACCACAGCGGATGCCAGCAGCATTATTTCTTTGCTTTTTGCTCTTCCAGGCAGGCTCTTCCAGGAGAGGCTCCGAATCCCAGGCACCTCCGACAGCCTCTTCGTCGGATCAACCCCCGATAGATCTCATCTGCCCCCTTTAAACTCTGCAACGTCACGCCTACGGGCTGGCTGGCTGGCTGGCTGGCTGCTCGCTCGCTCCTTGGCCCGGTTCCAAATTTTCTTTTTTTGAATTCTTTCTTTCTCCCACCCGCTTTTGCGCGGCTAGTCTTTTGGAGCTCGTCGGGTTAAAAAAACAACCAAACAAAAAAGACTCAAGTCTTTAAGGTACTGTTTCACGGAAAGAGACTTAAACGCCTTGCGAACCGTTCACGTTTCCCAAGCAAATTCGGTCGTCTTGCTTTCATCGCCTGGGAAATGCGTGCATTTCAAAACTAACAAGGAGAGCCTTCCAGTCAACAAGCTGGAAAAGCAGGTTCCGTCGTCTGCTCCGTATATAAAGTGTCTCGGGAGGGAAATGTGTCTCTTGCTACGGCAGAAGATGACTCAGTTCAGTTTACACCAGTTGCATCTTTCTCCTACTCGGCTTTCCCCCCCTCCTTTCTCTGCATTTGCACGAGAAGGGGAGCTTCTGGACGAGCCCTCCCAGGAATTTCATGCTCTAATTTCTGGATCCCCCCCTCCCCTTTCCCCGGGTAGCAGATGCAGCAATCGCTCCAGCTCCACCTCCCTGTTGCATTTATGCCGTCTTCTTTCTATAAGGACCCTGGGCGAGTGGGGCTTTCTCGACACAGCGGGAGAAATGCAAATCTCCACCCCGCGCATTGCCTCTCGCCCTCGGCTGAGGAACAATAAGCCATTGCACGCAGCCCGAGCGCCAGACCCCGGCCTCTTGCACCCTCGCCCGCCGTTACAACAACTTCCCTGCCTTTGCAAGGATTGTGGGAAGAGGCGCCGCAGCACGAGCAGCAGCCCCAGGAACGCGGCGCCTTGCGCTCCTCCCTCTCGCTCCTCCCACCATTACCTCATACTCGGCCCTCCGCCCCTAAACCCACCCCTCCGCTCGGCAGACAGCGCCCTCTGCTGCCTCAGATAAAGCCAGCAGCAACTGCGGGCCGCGGGGACTGGACCACCGCATCCCCGAGCAGGGGTGCCCGATCGATTGCCGCCCTCCGGGGTGAGACGAGGAGGCGGCGAGACGACGCAGGACGCGATCGCTGGACCAAAAGCCCGCTGCTTGTGTGGGATCAGCCCGGCCACTGCTTTTCACGCGCGCTGCTTGATGTAGCGCAGCCTTTTACCGCAGCCTGTGCTACCCCTCCAGCGCTGGCCGAAGCAACAAATGGAGGGGTGAGGCGTTGGATAGGAGAGTCGCCCCATCACAGCTGGGCCCAGAATCGGTGGCAGGGATCAATTCTTCCTAGCGGCCGCCCTTGGTCTTATGCAGTGTTTCTCAACCTTGACAATTTTAAGGCATGTGGACTTCAACTCCCAGAATTCCACAGCCAGCATTGCTGGCTGTGGAATTCTGGGAGTTGAAGTTCACATGCCTTAAAATTGTCAAGGTTGAGAAACACTGGTCTTATGAAAGGCATACGTGTTTCTTTTTTAAAATGCAGTATCTATCTCCTACCTACGAAATAATCCCTTCCGTTATAGTGCAGTTCTGCAATTTTGTTCAACGTTGCGCTGCTTCAAAAAAAAAAAATACAGTGTATACAAACTTTTTGTAAACTCCTGGCACTGCTCTGGCCCTGCATCCATCAAAGATGCTAATATTTCCGGCCGCCTTATTTGAACAAGTTAGAATTATTTTAAACAGCTACTGTAGTTTCAGGGGCTTCGTTATTATTATAGTTGGTCACAGAGTCAGCCAGTTGTTGAAATTGGATTTGGCATTTTTGTCCATCTATTGCAGTGTTTCTCAACCTTGACAATTTTAAGGCATGTGGACTTCAACTCCCAGAATTCCACAGCCAGAATTCTGGGAGTTGAAGTCCACATGCCTTAAAATTGTCAAGGTTGAGAAACACTGATCTATTGAATCCTACCTAAGGACCTGGGATAGGCTGATGCTATTCTTTTTTGGTGTTATTTTTATTATTTAGGGGAGTTTTCAAACCAGCTTTGACAAGCTTTCTTGTCAAGATTTTGAGAAGTGGTTTCCCACTGTTTTCTCTCTAGGAGGGAGGGAGGGGGAGGGGGAGAGACAGAGAGATGAAAAAATAAACAGATTTCAAAGCAATACAGTATTCCAATGTCAAGTATTCAGAGGGCAATGCACAAGATTTATAGAATCAAATTTTGACTTCAGGGCAATTTGCATGTTCAGTAACTGTAATAGCAATAGTTTGAATGCATGAAAGACTAGTTCTGATGTAAGTGGATCGCCCCTGCATTTTAATTGTTTCAGGTCCTGCCTTAAAATAATAATTTATTAAACTTAGAACCATAGGGCTAGAAGAGAACTTGGAGGTCTTCTAATCCAACCCTCAGCCCAAGGCAGGAGTCCTTGTTTCATCCTGGACAAATGGTTATTCTTTTGTCACCCTTAAGCCTTTTCTTCACATACCTAGTTCCCTTAGGCCAGTGATGGCGAACCTTTTAGAGACTGAGTGCCCAAACTGCAACCCAAAACCCACTTATGCATCGTCGAGTGCTGGGTGGGTGTGGCCAATTGGGTGGGCGTGGCCCATTGGGTGGGCGTGGTTGCGGTAGTAACGGCAGACTGGGTGGGACTAAAAAGTTCAATCAATCAATTCCAACTTTGCAAGATCTTTTTTTTTTCCCGGGATAAGTTGAAATTGACTGATTGAAACTTTTTTTTTTTTGCACACGGCGGCAGAGGCCTAAAGCGAAAAGGTTTTATAAAACCCAGCTGAAGGCCTAGGACTGGGGTGACAGTGCGCGTGCCCACAGAGAGGGCTCTAACCCATGCCATAGGTTCACCACCACTGCCTTAGGCATTCATTATATGATTTTGTCTCCAGACTCCTTACTAGCTTACTATGCAGCCCACCTCTCAGTGATTCAAAGTTAGGGTGCTTTTATTCCCGACTCCACAATGTCTACATCAGTGTCCACATCAGTTATTGCCAAAGTTATTTTTTCTGAAACCTAAAGAGGCACCCTTGATGTGGATCAATAATTAGTGCATTGATCAACCTCTCTATTGTGCAAGACATGGTTCCCTATCTTGCTGTACAGTAATACTTTCCACTTTTCCACAGGTAAAACTGTAAAAATCTAATGCTCATTCACTTGTATTGCTGTTGCAAACTAGAAAGACAGAATATTCAATATACCCATACATGGTTCATTGATTATAGAAAGCCCTTTGACTGTGTCAGCCATATCAAGCTGTTGAATGTGCTTAGAAGAATCAGAATTCCAAAACATCTCCTTGTCCTCACATGAAACTTAACAGTACACAGGTTGGGAAGCCACGGCACCTGATGAAATAGACTGGCTACTGGTCAGCAAAGGAATGAGACAAGGCTGTATACTTTCCCCTTATTTATTCAGCCTAATGCTAAATATATATTTAGGGAAATTGGATTAGAGCAAGATGAGTGTGGTTTTAAACTGGGGGAAGAAACATCAATAACCTGCACTCTGCTGATGAGACAACTTTAATAGTTGAAAATGCAAATGATCTGCTAGCTCTAGTAATAAAAGTCAAGGAATACAGAAAAACAATAGGACAGAGTAAATATATACAGGTAGTCCTCAACTTACGACCACAATTGAGCCCAAAATTTATGTTGCTAAATGAGACATTTGTTAAGTACTGTAAATTTAGCCCCATTTTACAACCTTTCTTGCCAAAGTTGTTAAGTGAATCACTGCAGTTATATTAGCGACACAGTTGTTAAGTGAATCTGGCTTCCCCATTAGCTTTGCTTGTCAGAAGGTTGCCAAAGTTGATCATGTGATCCTGGGACACTGCAACTATCCTAAAGGTGAGTCAGTTGCTAAGTGTCTGAATTTTGATCACGTGGCCATGGGGATGCTGCAACAGTGTGAAAAACGGTCCTAAGTCACTTTTTTCAATGACATAACTTTGAACGGTCACTAAACGAACTGTTGTAAGTCGAGGGCCACCTCTAGTAGAGCAAGCTAATGGTAACAAGTGCAAGCAGCCAGAGACTCAGACTTCCTAAGAAATGAGAGATTTTATTTGAGGCGCAAATGACCAGGCTGAAACTATCATGCTATGTTATGTAAAGGCCTAGTTCTCTGGAGGAAGGCAAAAAGAAAGAGAAGGGAAAGTTGACTCAATTAAATGGACTCAATAACAGTAGCAACAGGTCCACTGTTGGAAGACTGGAAGGACCAGCTTGGAAACTGATGATCCTGGAGAAAATCTATCTATGTGGTCACTGAGAGTTGACACCAACTTGATGGCACATAATCAGTAGAAGTTAAACTCCCTCTGTGTATCAAAGGAGCAATAATTAGTATCATCCAAATACTACAAGAGGCCTTTTCAGAGTAGAGTCCATAAGAGCATCTATGTACATATGGACAAAATGTGAAATCTATCACCAATTAAAAGTATATGTATAAATACATATTTAGAGATTAATATTATTGATATATACATTTGCCACAGTTCTTTGCAACAAGATTGTGAAATGTGTTGTATATAATTCAACTGGCTGGTCTGAATGCTTGGGCTAATTCAAGATCCCTGAGCACTACTCCTTCTTTCTTTCCTTTCTCTTTCAAGTCAAAATTGGACTCCCAGAATCCTTCAGTAAAGCACCAGTTGGCAGCTCCTACCTAGATCCCAAGTTGCATCTAACCTCCGCCCCCATGCTACTGAGATTTAGGAACAAAATAGCCATTTTTAGTAGCATTATTTTAAGTCTTCTTTTTAAAAAATAGATTTGAAAATACCTATTAAGTCCCATACTTTGAAGCAGGGGTCCTCAAACTTGGCCACTTTAAGACTTGTGGACTTCAACTCCCAGGATTCCCCAGCCAGCATGGCTGGCTGGGGAATCCTGGGAATTGAAGTC